AGTCCGATGAAGGACAAAATTCACAAGTAAACTTTTTCCACTTTGTCATACAATTTCCTATATATATATATATATATATATATATATATATATATATATATATATATAAAATTTTGGTTTTGGCAGTAATAATAGGGTCAAGCTCTGTGAATTCTTTAACTTTTAAAATTTCTGAATTAGGTGTTTTACGTTATCCATAAATTTGCCAAAGTTCATATTTATTTTAATTTTCTGTTCTCCTCCCAGGTACTTTTGAATGTTGCTATATTTGTCTTCATGGATTGTTTTGTGTTTAGTTATGCAACTGGTTTTAAAACAAACATAAAAAAAAAGTTCAGTTTGAGCATTTATATGATGTCACCTTGAGTGACCTGTTCCATCAGACATGTGAACTCCGGAATTAAAAACCAATGAAGCAACATTCGAAAGTACTCGGGTTGATAATATAAAATAAATACGAACATTTATCAAATATACCGATAACAAAAAAAGCCAAATTCAGAAACTTAAAAAATTGACAGACAACCTATCCATATTATTTAACCAAGAATGTTTGATACATATATATAAAATGTATAGGATTGGTGTATACGGAATAAATTCCAATAACCAAAAAATACTATTCTTAAGAGTGCTCAATACAGAGTAGAGCAAATATAATTTATTTGAAAATTATAACACCATCACTTGATAAGACACATAATAGCATGTGTTGAAACAAAATGGCTATTTTTGTAGTGATTTTATAGCACGTTTATGTTATAATTTTTGAATAAATTATATTTTTTTTGTGTGTGTGCATTCATGAGAGGCTTCTGAGAACTTAATAAAAGTTATTCAATTTAATAAGTTGCAAACAAAAATTTGTATTGAAATTCAACCTATTTTAAGGGTGTGTGTATATATATATATATATATATATATATAAAATGAGAAGTATTCAGATTTAAATTGGGACCAAAGAGAATAATATGTCTCCTAGGATTAAAAAAAATTATGTGCATGCATGCTTATATAAAATACAGGGTCCCTGCCAAAGAGTCATGGTTCGTTAACTAATCTTGGTCACTTGTGTCGTAAATTTAATCCCTCCCCTTCTGGGTCTGGATAAACTCATGCACAGACAAACATTGCTGTGCTTTGTATGAAGTACACATTTTTAATCTTAAAGCAATATAAATTTAGGCAGTTAAAGTTTCTCTAAATTCAACTGACAGTTTATTTAATTTTATCCCCTAGTTTTGAGATAAGCCATTTCAAAAAAAAAAAAAAAAACGTCGATAAACTGCCTTTTTCATTCATTTCATGTTCTGTTTTTTTTTTTTTTTTTTTTTTTTTAAGAATGTTTGAAACTAGCTCAATCATTATCTGGAACTATATCATAGACAAAAATTTATTAGCTACACCCCAGCATTTTTTTTTTTTTTTTTTTTATTAATGTTACATCTTAAATTTAAATATACCAGTTTCCAGGGTTGGATTTTGATGAAGAGAGGCCCTAGGCTATTCCATTTGTGAGGCCCCTACAAATCCTGCATTCTCAAGAGTGGAGGAAAATGGAAGTGCTAGATTAAAAAATTTGAGTAAAGCTGAGTATGATGACTGGTATTTAAAATTACTGAAGGCTTATTTGGTGTCTACAAAGCATTATGACAGCATGCATAAGAAAGGACGATGACAGTGTCGAAAATATTATACACCTTGGCTAGAGGCTCTAGGCTTCAGCCTGCTAAGCTTACAGATAAATCTAGCACTGCTTATTTCATATAAATGACATCATGATACATGAAATGTAATATTCTAGAAAATGCTAGGATGGAGCTAATAAATATTTTGTCTATAATAGTTCCTGTTAATGATGGTTGAAATTACAAAAACAAAATTTAGACAGTTTATCCACAATTTTGATTATGGTGCATAAAAACTTAATTAAAAAAAAAAAACATGAGAAAAATAAAACAAATTGATCCTGTTGGTTGAATTTAATAAAGTTTGTTTAAATAATCATAAACTATAGATATAAACAATTTTATTTGGGGGAGGGGTTTACATTTCCGCTAATCAACCTGAGTTTACGGATGACAGTTTCATGCCATGGGCTGTAAAAGCATTCACATAAAAATGTGAGTGTTAGTCTTTTAATATATTTTCTGAAATCCCAGGTAATTCCTGAGTCCCCTTTGGCACCCCCGGAACCAGGGTACTATGTTTCACCTTCACACCAGTCTCACCTAGACCTTGAAAACAGCAAATTCAAGAAAAATTATTCTGCCAGTATTTCGAATTAATTTTTCATGTTTGTTGACAAGTTTTAATTACCTTGAACCAAGATTGCCACTTCTCTATTTTTAGGGTACAATTTGTCAGTTATTTTACATAAAATATAAGTACATATGTACATACAAGAGGGGGGGGAGTGTTGGAAATTTCCAACGTAGCATGCTGTGCTTGTTCAACTGAACAGAAATGTAAGCAGCTAATGCTCTATTAACAGGCTTTGTGCTATCTGTATTCAAATATTACACAAGGTTTTTGCTGGAATGGCTCTGCGACCTTAACAGTGACAGACTGATTCAAGCAATGTGCCTGTGTGAAATTTTGTGTCTAGCTCAGCAAAGCTGCTATTAAAACCCTTGAAATGCTGTATCAAGCCTTTTGGCAAACTTCTTTTCTTTTGTTTCTTTGCTTTCTTAAAGCGGAACACAGGTCTTCTTTCCTCCTCACCCCTTCCCTGTGGTATTCACCTTCCAAGGCTGCTTGAGTGCTCAAGGCTGCTTGAGTGCTGCTCCAAGCTGATAAATATTCAAGGTAATCACTTTCCAGCAGATTACCAGAAAATGTCTTGGGAAGTGTCATTTTATTGTCTGCCAGAAGATTCTATTCTGGGAACATATGAATACTACCTCTCACATTCAAAAGGATTTTGCTGCAATGGTTCTGTAATCTTTACAATGACTGACAACTTCAAGCATTGGTGCTTGTATCAAACTATATGCGTAGCTCTGCAAATCTGTTACCAAAACCCTTAAAATGCTTCGTCAGGCTTTTAGCAAACATTTTTTCAGTTGAACACAGTATATATATTTTTATTTATTTTTTTTGCAAGGCTGTTTAAGTGTTGCTTTAAGCTGACGAGCATTTAGGGTAATCACTCACTGTCAATAAAAAAAAAAAAATCATCACTCTTTCTCTCTCACACATGACTTGAATTATTTTATTATATTCTGCCAGATCCTAGCCTGGGAACATTTCAATACTACCTCATATATACATACATACATGCATACACAAGGATTTTGTTGCAACGGTTCTGCAATCTTTACAAAGGCTGACCAATTTGAGCAGTGTTTTTGCATCAAATTTTGTGAAGCTTAACAAATCTGCTATCAAGATCCTCAACATGCTTTTTGGGGACATTCTTTTGGTCAAGCACAGTGTTGGTTCAAGATGTGTGAGTGGAATTAGTTCCAGAGTCTGCCAGAAGATATTTTTCTGGGAACTTTCTGATGCCGCCTCATATGTACATATGTATATACTTATGCCTACAGTTTTATAATTGTATGAGACAAGATGGGAAAGGGGAAAATGCCATTTTTTAGCACCATTCAGCCAAGAATATATTCAATACTGTCCGAATTGATTCAGAGAGATAATAATTATAGAAAATTTTTTTTTTTTTAGTTAAATAAAAGAATTTTTTTTTTTTTAAATTTTAAAGAATGGTTTTTCAATAAAAAAAAAAAAAAAAATGGGGAAATTTTTTTTTTTTCTTAAGATTAAAAAAAATAAATAATATAATATTTGTTTTTTTTTATATATATATATATATATATATATATATATATATATATATATATATATATATCATCATTAATCTCCTGACCGTGGTCATGTTTGATGCGTGTGGGTTAATTTTCCATTATTCTTGTGTTTTTTTTTTTTTTGTTTTTTTTATTTATTTTATTTATTTATTTTTTTTTTTTTTTTTTTTTTTTTTTTTTTGGCAGGGGTAACTTTTTTTCTTTTTTTTTTTTTCACTTTTCTTTGGAAAAGAAATTGGTCTAGTCCCATCTATTGGAAGAAAACTTCTTCTGTTTTATTCTGTAACTTAGTGTCAAGTCTTTGGGGAGGGGAGAAAAAAATTTGTTTGTATTCTGCTTCATTTCCACTCAGGTATATAAGGGCAGTGTGGTTGGGGAATCCAGCCACAGCACTGCTGAATAGGTTTGTATATAACATGGTGGTGGTGGTAGTAGTAGTAGTAGGAAGAGTAGTGGTGGTAGTTGTGGTGGGTATGGTAGAAAGCAGAGGAGTGGGTAAGGGGTTAATCTTTTAAGGTACAAAAAATACAACATCTGTCCCATAATAGTTGCTAGATTTAGTATGTAAAGTTAAGCAACAACTAATGTGGGACAGAGGTGCTCATAAAAAAATTGAGAATTCATTTTTTTTTTTTTTTTTTTTTTCTTTCATTTCCGGGTAGTTTTGACCTCTCATTTTAAAGAGGTCAGTGAATAGTTTGTTTTTAAAAAACTTTATTTATTTAATTTCTTTATTTTTATTTTTTTTTTCTGGGTAGTGATGACCTTTAGTGAGGTCTGTGCACTTCACAAGAACATGCACACATGGACACACACGCATATTTAAAAAAAAAATTAAATTGAAAATAAAAAAAAAAAAAAGAAAAAATGGAAGGGGTGGGTTGGATTTGAACCCGGGACCTCTCCCCCACCCTGCAACCAATCTGCTTGAACGTGAAGTAATTATTAAAACAACTTCCTTTCATCCTCCTCTTCCTCCTCGCAATGGATTTTTGCTGTGTCTTTAAGCACTGACAATATGCCTTTTTATTTTTGGTATTGGATTTTTTTTTTTTTTCCGGTTGTTTATTTTTTAAATATATTTTTTTTTTTTTTTTTTTTTTTCCTTTTTTGGTAAAAATACAATGACCTGGGTCATTAGTAGAGAGACATGTGAGCAGGGTCAAACATCCAATTTATTCAGTACTGCTGGGTTACATCGGCCATCATGTTCTGAACCTGTTTCAGTTTGTAGTCAAGTTTACTTCTGTTAGCCGCATTGTCTTCCTCTAAAGCCGTCAGGAGCTGAAAGAAGACAAATATACAGGACAATGTAGGCATCAATATTGATAACATAGTCATATCCTGTTTTAATGTTTAAAAGGCATGGAAAAAATGGTCTAATTATGCTAATACAATTTTCCAAGTGTACGAATATTTATTTCCCCCCACTAATATATATATATATATATATATATATATATATATATATATATATAACTAAAAGAAATCCTGATAGATAATCTAAGGAAGGGACAGTAAATTTAAATAACTTCCAAAAATATTCTTATAGTGTCATGCGACCTTTGAAGACCTAATTTTGAAGCTAATTTTAAGGGGGTCACATCATACATTAGATATAAAAGTACTACTGTCCCCGGCTATGCCATTGACCAAACTATATATCCATTTACTGTAGTCAAAAAGTACAGCTGTATTTAAAATAAACATGATTTTGATAAAACTGATGTTTTACTTAACTGTATCCAAAAATAATGCATGTAATATTCACATATTAGTATCTTATTAAAAAATACAAACATAGCAAATATGCATCTTTTTCATTGTTTTCGTTTATAAGACATGTAGCTGTTTCTCGTTCAGTTGTTTATGGCTGAATATCAAGGGTTGGCAGTCCCCAGGTCACACCCAATCCGCGAAGGATTTTTGTTCAGCCAGTCAACAGTAGTAAGGAATTTGCATTTTTTGTCGAATGTGTTAATTATTATCCTGTTATTCTTGCAGTAAAATAAGGAGCCTTGTTTAAATAAAATAATATTAACTTTGGAAGCTTAAAGAAAAAAAACAACAGACAACGGAAACCTTCTGAACAGAGAGCTCTGAGGCTGTGATAATTTATTATAGTATATTTGATATCATGGCCTTCCTCAGAGACACTGCATAACTGTCTGGTCCACTCTCTCTAAAAAGTTACTGATCCCTGCTGTACGTATTTACACATCGAGTATAGTGTTATTAACGATACTTTTACCATTCTCTTTTACTTTTTTTAACTTGTTTAACTAGAAGATGGGATAAAGAGATAGAGGAAAAAGGTTAGTCTATTGTAATTTGGTCTCTCAAAAAAGCAACTTGCATGATACTTGAGAAACATGATAAAATCATTTTTATAAGTGAAAATTTGGTGGGGAGTCACATGATATGCAAGATCACACATTACATGAGTATATATATAATACATTACAAAATAAAGAGGAATAATATATAGTACTGTATATTTTATCAAGCACACTATCCAATCTGACATCGTAGATATTCAGTGTTTTGTGCCACTGTTAAATTCCCCCTTTTCTACTCTTACTTCAGACGTCATAGTTATAGCAAATGATGAATATACAATCATAAACAAACTGGCGCAAAAAAAAAAAAAAAAAAAAAAAATGGAAAACCCCTGGAGTAATAAGCATTACATGTGTGTTTACAATAATAAACAAAGCAGCAACTTATATCTAGTGTTACCACAACTATGTCTATAATAAGGGGTGGTAAAAAGTGGGGGATCATTTTTGTATTGTTCTTAGTATTGAACACATCCCCCACTTCTTGGCCATAGTAGATTCATAGATTAAATTCAAAAACATCCTTATAATCAAATGAATGAATGTTAGAAAGTGAGGGATCAGTTTTGTATTACTTACAATATTAAACTGATCCCTCATTTCTTGGCCACTGTATATGCTATCTATTTCTATAATTTAAACAGGATTTAAGTATGTTGATTTTATATACTCGTGTATAAGGCGATTTTTGAAGACCTCATTTTGCAGGTAATTTTAAGTGGGTCACATCATACAAGTATATATGATAGATTATGAAATAAAGCGGAATATATAGTAATGTACATTTCACCAGAAGGCATGGTGGAGTAATGGATAGCGGCTCAGATTGAGGAATCAGAAAGCAGAGTTCGAATTCCAGTTACATTCACTTACGTGCTAATACCCTTGGGAAAGGTATGAATCTGCTTCTCCCTCCACCTATGGGTAAATAGCAGCTCAGACCGGGTTCTTGGATAGCAACTGGTCTATCCCAGAAAGAAAATCTGCCTTGACAGATTGATCGCCTAAGCGTGTATTATGCATGGCACATAATCCAATCTGATATCGTAGATATTCACTGTTTTGTGCCATTGTTAAATTCCCCCTTTTCTACTCTTCCTTCAGATGTCATAGTTATAGCAAATGATGAATATAAGATGTCATAGTTATAGCAAATGATGAATATACAATCATAAACAAACTGGCAGATAAAAAAAAACAAAAAACTGGAAAACCCCTGGAGTAATAAGCATTACATGTGTTTACAATGATATAAACAAAGTGGCTGCCTGCAAAGCAGTAGCTTATATCCAGTGTTACTACAACTCTGTCCATAGCATGTGGAACTTACAAACAGGGTTGGATGTTCCAGATTTTGTTTGTTTCTTCTGATATCTGTTAAAGGAAGGTCCATAATACCGTGGCATGAATATATAATGTTATCAATAGGACAACGTAAACAGTTAAACGAACATCTACATTAGGATAATTAATTTTTTACTAGTTTTCCTTTCATCTTATGTTGCATTTTTTTTTTATCTCGACACTTTAATTGTTGTGGAAAGAGAAAAACATCTGAGAGCTGCTATTTGAGTCTATAGAAAGGCAAACATATTCTTTCACTTTCTCTTTTTTTCCTTTTGCTTCCAGATTTGGTCAAACGAACACTGCCGCTGGGGCTTGTTCGCTTCCTTGGTCCTCTTGGCTTTTGAACTCTCACACACACTCATATACATACCCCCACAAGCACATCCTTATAGGTAGTTTTAATGTCTTTTCCTTTGATTTCAATTGTGTACACATGTAATTCCTTTTGTTAATAACATGCATTAATTTTCGTTTGTTTTAAATTACATGTTTTGTGTTTGTATTTTGTACTCAGCTTTGGATGTATCTGCCAACATTGTTTGCAAAACAAAAGTTTACTATAAAACAGCCACACACCTCAAAACAGTCATTTGAATTTATTTTTCATTAATGTAATTTCCTTTCTGATCTATACTGTTTATTTAACACACTCTTATTATCAAATGAGGTCCTTTTAAGCTTGGATGTGTAGGTGGTGTAATGGATAATGGATCCAAATTGTTAGCAGAGTTCCAATTTCTATTGGGTTCTTTATTATCACTTGTATGGAAATCTCCATGTGAAACGTACAAATTCACCTCAGCTATGTATTATTAAAACCTTATCTCTAAAATGAAAATTGTTGCAATCTAAAAAAAATATTTTTTCCGGTTTTAAATAAATTTATAGAAATTACTGTGTACACAAAGTGAGGGATCAGTTTATATAGTGTAATGTAGAATGGATTTCCCATTTAATGACATACATAATTTTTTGTTTCCTTATCAAATTCAGAGTAGGTATGAATTTTTTTTTTCTTCTATTTATTTTTTTTTTCTTCTTCCTTCTTCCCCCCTTCCCCCAGCTATAAGTTAACCACAAAAGAGGCAAATCCCACAACAAATGTCTGGATTTCTTTGATAAATCATTGGTTTTTTTTTTTTTTTTTTTTTTTAAACAAAATAAAGAAAATTCCTTTTGTCTTTATTTATAAATATGTTTTGTCCCCCCGAGTAAGTGTTGCAAAATAAAAACTCTTCATTTGAGAAGGTCCTTCAGGTGATGAAACACATTGGTAAAGAAAATTTTTCTTTTTCTTTTATTTATATTGTTAAAACTCTAAGTAAATTTCAGCTCCTGGTAGTTTGGAGGGAAAGGATGAAGGTAATAAAATAACTTACTGAAACCTGAACCTTGCCAGTCTGCATGAAAATAAGGTGGGGTGGGGTCAACTGAAGGTGAAGGAAAGGGAAAGAAAAAAAACTCTACTACAATTATTCTGATAAACATGATTCAAGTTTTGAAGGTTCAGGGATCCCAAACAGAGATTACACTTTGATCTTGGGCGGAGAAGCAGAATTAACTCACCTTATCGCTGTATTCGTTAACATATTTGTATAATTCCAGAAGCGCAGCATCAGTATAAAACTCGTGTTTGTGTAACTGGAAAAAAAAAGAAAGAATTATTCTCCGAATCTTGAAGTCTTTTCAGTATCTTAACTTGAAAAAAAAGAAAAAAAACATCTTTCAATGATCCCCCTTTCTGAGTTAACTTTAACTGAAACTGAGATATCCACAAGCTACTCTAGGTGGGCAAAATAAAGGGTCTGGTTAGAAATTCTAATGTATATCACATGAAGAAGACCGAACCATACAACAGTCAAAATGCCATGAATAAGGACAATAGTCCGAACAATGTAAATAGTTACAATATCTCTTCTAAAAAATATTAAAAAAAAAAAATAAAAATAAATAAAGTAATGGTAACAGTAACTATTTCCTTATAAGGTAACATTCAGAATTCATTGACCAAGCAGCCAGTGCTACTCCAGTTAAATTTTTCTTTACTCTGTGACCATCAGGCTGGCGTCAATATGAAATATCCGTTCGTCTCATCTTTCATGATAATAATAACCATTTCTCTACACGGAACAATTTGGCATTTCTTGACTGTGCAGACAGTACTTCTTTTGGTAGAAATTTATAAAATCTTTCTCTTAAACCAATTTTTCAAGATAATGTGTCTCTCAAGTCCAGTAATTGTTACCACTCTTTCCAGTATTGATAGAGGGTTTCGCTCATAAGTTTTTATTTGTAGTGTGGAGCATTAACATTTAACTTTCTGAACTGAGATATCCACAAGCTGTAGACTAAAGTGTTTGGTTTGAAATTCTAATGTATATCACCTGAAGAAGGCCGGAGCATACAACAACTGAAATGTTGTGAATATGGCCATAAAGATGAGGATTGATGTAAATGGGTAAGTGAGGTATTTTAACTAAAATACCTCATTTCAGAAAATACTAACAGATGTAAACTTTATCTACTTAAGATTTCAATATATATATATATATATATATATATATATATATATATATAATATATTTTAAAAAGTGTGTGTATATAATACATACATAGGAAATATTATTCAGTGGAAAAATAGAAAAATGTTCTGATTTTTGACATATACATTCACGAGAAATTTTCGCTACTCTTCCAATCTTTGAATTTCAACATACAAATGCGTATGTATAGACACAACACCACCTATATACATACATATGTCAAATCCCAAACTGTCAACATATGTTTATATATGTATGAGTTCTGACGGATGACCAAGTGTGTATGTGTGTCTGCGTACGACATCGGGCGTATGAACATGCATCTATGTTTGCGTTAACACGATGACGATTCCTCCCCATTCCCATAATAACATCAATACACGCAATCTACATAACCCCAAAATTTTTTAAAAATTAATCAGTTTGTCTGGCGATCACAAAAGCGTGAAACCCAGGGACACAAACTCACATCAATCCAACCATATATATATATATATAATCAAACATTTTACACATTAGTTCAAAAAGCAAAATTGAATATTGCATACAGTCCACCATATTTAGAGCAAACATTTGTGTTTACTAGATGGTTGCTTGAATCTGTCAAAAATTTGCTTCTGCACCCAGTTCAGCTTACAATTCCTTTTCAATGGTTAGCATGCATGATTCCAAATTTTTCTCAGACAGCTAATTTATTAACCTTGTCTTTATGATCTTTAGCTTTGAAAATGTCCTCTCACATTGGACTTGTGCAGATGACTTTATAAAGTTACACCTTTTTATTACTAATGAAGTCCACTCCATCAGGGGGGGCCTACTTGCCATTGGGCAAGTTGACACCCTGGCCAGTCTACCACTGCTACAGAAACATGTAAGACTTCCTGGAGAGTCGAGGGTCTTATGAAGAAAAGCACCTTGTCTGAAGCTCATATCGTAAACAAAATATTTTTAAAATGAGTCAATAGATATTTTATCTATAATCCGACATTATTTTTTATTAGAATATAAGTTACATTTGATGGATGTCTCTATTTTAAAATATAATTAGGTCTAATGGCCTGGGTTTTATTTTAGACTAGCAGTAGAGCCTGGCATTATCCGGGGATGTAACAGTAAGAGATAGATCAAGTATCGACCATCATAAAGACCGAAAAATAAAATTGACAAAGATTGTTTAAGGTTGATGGACCTGCATGTCTTAATTATTTTTTTTTTTTTTTGTTTTTTTTACGAATTGTTCAAACCCAAACAAAAACATTGTTTTCAATCATTATGAGGCTACCGATTGAATAGAATTTTATTATAAACAATTGTCTTGTAAATGGAATTTTTAAAGCATTCTGAATGTAAAAATAAAGAAAAAAGTGTGCAAGACAATAAGAAACACTACATGCCAAAAAAAAAAGTGAAGTTTAGTTGAAATCGGTTGAAAAATGTAGGAAATCCGATCCCATATATCAACGAACACACACACACACACACACACAGAAACAACCTGAGTTTTATAATAAGTATAACAAGATGAGTTGTCCCCCTTTCATTCTCGCAATAGCGATGCCTCTTAATCGTGTTTTCAAATTGATTTCGTGTAGAAACAATTGCGTTTTTCCAATGTTTGGCACTGTTAGAACCACCACAAGGTAATTTTACGTAGTCCTATGAAGTTTTGTTGAAATCGGTTGGAAAGTGTAGGAAATCTGATCCAATATATAAACAGACACACACATACAACCTGGGTTTTATAATAAGTATGATTATAGGCCCATTTGTCATCAGGCAAGCTGATATAGTGACCAATAAGTAATTTTTATATAGTTTGCTGCACAATTCACACAAAAAGAGATTAGTTCAAAATCCCAATAGAGCATTGTATGTAGTCCACTATATTAAGAGCAATCATTTGTTTTCACTAGATGATTGTTCAAATCTGCAGGTAATTGCATCTGCATTCAATTCATCTAAAAATTCAACATGTATGATTCCAAATTCTCCTCAGACAACGAATTTCTTAAACTTGTCTTGATTTTAATGATCTTTAGCTTTGAAAATGTTCTCTCACATTGGATTTGAGTAACTGATAGTTTGCAGATGACTTTATAAAGTTCTTATTTGCTTTTTGTTACTAAAACACTTGTCTGTCTTTGTTTCTTTGAGACAGAAGGCCCACTCTATTAGGGACCCACTTGGTCATCAGGCAAGCTGACACCCTGGCTAGTCCACCACTGCCAAGTTTTATCATCAATGACCAGTATCTTAACAAGCTAGACAAATGGCACCATGTTGAAAACAAACACAAAAGGAAAACTACAAGATCTTCTTGACTGTGTAGTAAAGGAAAGTAAGAACAAAGGAATAACTATCAATTGTAAGAAGACAGAATGTTTGGTTGTCAGCAATAGAAAAGCCCAAAATGTTTGTGCATTCTATCTCTTATCTGTAGTGGCCTTGTGTCAAACAAAGCACCATTTAGTATCTAATAGTTCAAAAACATAATAGAACATTGCATGTAATCTACTATATTAAGAGCAATCGTTTGTGTTCACAAGATGATTGTTTGAATCTGCCAATAATTGCTTCTGCATCCAATTCATCTAACAATTCCTTTTCAATGGATAGCAACATGTCTGATTCCAAATTCTCTACAGACAGTAAATTTCTTAACCTTGTCTTTATGATCTTTACCTTTGAAATTGTCTTCTCACATTGGATTTGAATAACTGATAGTTTGCAAATGACTTTATAAAGTTCTTATTTGCTTTTTATTACTAAAACTGTTGTCTGTTTCTTTATTGCATCTTTTATTTGATATAGGAGGACCCACTCCATCAGTTAAGATTCCCAAAAGATTTATGTGGCACAAGGCCAAAAGTATGGAGCACCCAGTGGTGATCAAAATCACTAATCTAGTGAGACAAGATTGCTGACCATTAAATCATGTCAGTATTCCCAATATATAATGATTTACTAAGCATAGCTTAGATGCGGCACAAGGCCAGAAGTATGAGGCACCCAGTGAGGAACAAATTCACTACTCAGACAAAGAAAAAAGAAAGTAATGGACTTTTTATAACCAAAATTTATTTTTATAATTAGTGTTTTTATAAACTAGTCATAATTTACCAGTCATTTAGTGCTAGGAAGAATAATGCTTTCCTGTACACCCAGTACTAATATTAGCATTAGTGTAGACATTGATACACTAACACTGAATGTGGATATAGAAAGACAAGATACATGTCTGTAACAAATGAAACATTTAAAAAGGCAAATATAACTTACATACACACATTAAAAAAATTACACATGTCCCAAAACAAATGATTGTTTATATTGTCCAAAGGACGAGAATGTTTAACAGAACAATGAACAAAGAAATAAAATATTGGCCTTATGCTCTTTGACTGTCCTTAACAAAGTGAATCAAAATGACTTTTCATTCTACGTTAGGCTGTGTACATGTTGTCCATTTTCCACATGTGTGGATGCCCTGGTGGTTAAGAAGGTATTAACTGTTCTTCAAACGAAAGCAAAACAAAAAAAGGAAGAAGAATTCTCCTCTTTAAAAGAGGATGAACTCCCATGTGTTTAACCCAAGGGAAAAAAGCTATTGTCTCCCTACACTATGAATGTGTGACCAAGAGAGTAGGCATTAAAAATTTAATGAAACTGATTTATGACTTACCCTCGATTCTTCTTGCAGCATAGCGTTCATGTCTTGATCTGATATGGGGGGAATTAATTTGATATCTTCATAATATCTGTAAAAAAAAAAAATATATTTTTATTTTATTTTTAATCATTTCATCCCAAGCAAGAAAATAAAGTCACTAAGATGCAAGGGGTTACTGAGTGTTAAAGAATGTGTGAAAAAAGATTAGTATTTAGGAGAAGGAAAAAGAATGAAGGTCAAAAATAATGACTGACGTTAGGTTTAAACTTTTGAAGATCAAAATTGACAGGGAAGCAAGCAGCCCAGTTCCTAGGAACTGACAGCCAGACACCAGCACATATGATTTGATTAGAGTAGTGAAGGCTTTGTGGAGAACCAACCACATATTTTGAAGGGCAAGATACAGAGACCCGGTGCACTATATGTCACAAGGTTCCCAAACGACCCTCCAAAGGTTTTGAATTCAGAGTTGTCCATCCAAGGCTATAGAACCCAGTCTGTCCTGCTTATTTACCCATAGTTGAAGAGAGAAGAGGATTAATACCCTTTCGCAAGGGTATTAGCATGTAAGTGAATGTAATGGATTTGACTGGAATTTGAACTCGGCTCACCGATTTCTCAATCCAAGCTTCTATCCACTACTCCACTGCGCCTCTCTCGGATAAATATATAGGTATTTTTATTCAATTTTATTCTTCATCATTAGCTGCTTCATGTAGACAGTGTTCGACAATTTAGAGGAAGGAAAAACCTGATTTTAAACCTCTCCTGACTTGCGGTCATATCCAAACATGAAAAAGGTCATGAAAGTAAGTCCAAACAGAAAACCTGAAGGCAGTTAGCTCTCAGCATTGACAATTTTCCATTAACTCCTGCAGCCAAACTGTCCTCAGATGAAATGCCCTATATTCCTTAAGATCTTGTTAGTATGACTGAGAAGTTAGAGGTAGCAGGTTTTTGTTTTTCTTCTATATATCATCATTCCAGTTTCACCACCAAAAGACGTTTTTTTTTTTTTTGTTTTTTTTGACCAAACAGAGCACTATGCTTTTACCCTGCAAGATAAATGTATGCCTAGTATTCTATTAACAATGTTATAGCCATTGTATGCTCCAGCCTTCTTCAGTCATCCTGGGTATGACAATAAACTACATCCTCGTCTTGGGTAAGACAATATAAACTGCGTCCAACAGCAAGGCCTCAGATCGGGAGGTTTTGAGGAGTGTGGACCTATCTCTTTATTGCTGTTGTTCCCAGATCAGACCTGACCCAGAGTGGTGGTGCCTTATGTGGTCCCAGCTATGGGCAAGTGGTTAGCCCCACAAATTGGAGTCAAAACACTATAAAGATGGAAAAATAGGTTTTAATACCAGAAATGCTTTGTAAAAAAAAAAAAAATATTACCAGCAATACATTTTTTGAAGGGAAAGTATTGCCAGAAATACATTTTTGAAAAAGAATATTACCAGCAATAAAAAATTGTTGGCATTAAATAACTCATTGAGGTTGATATGATGTAAAACAAACTAAACCAGCCAGCCTTCTTCTGGTGATTGGAATAAAGAACTGAACCTTTTTATTTCATCCACTTGGGTAGGTAGTACTAGTTCCACATGCCATGCCTCTTCCAGATGTCTCAGTATCTTCCTTTAGTTCAGTTAAAAAATTCCAATCACCTTAAGACCAGAATGTACAACAGATGAAATGTTGTGAATATGGCAACGAAGATAAGAACAACAGTTCGAACAATGTAAATAGTGTAAAACAGTTACAATACCTTATCTTAGAAATATAGACAGATCCTGAAGAAGGCTGGAGCTCATGATGGCCAAAATGTTGTAAAATATAGACAGATATTATAAATTTACATATATAATTTATTTAAAAAATATAAAATACTTACCGGTCTACCCATGCTTTGTATTTGGGGATGTCCTTAGCATAGAGTAGCTTACTTGATGGGGAGTCTTTTCCCAAACGATGGTCACTCATTGAACAACTGTCCATGAAAGTTTGAGCCGTGACTGAGAGACAGGAGTCAACAATGTGGGACTTGTACATATCGAATACAAAGTCAGGATTCTTTATTATATTCACCCAAAATCTGAGAGGAAGGCTGAAAAAAAAAAAATTAATGAATTTAGAAAGGAAGAACTAAAGAATGTGGGGAAAAGAAACAAAAGATTTAATTTGAAGGTTCAGTTCAAGAAAAGTAGAGTATTTAAAAATGAAATTTGAAGAGGAGGAGAGCAAGGAGAAATTTGAAAGGAAACTTGAAAACGGAGAGCAAGGAGAAATGAGAACAACAAGGAGAAATTAGAAAGGAAATTTAAAAAAAAAAAGGAGAGCCAGGAGAAATTTAAAAAAGTCGAGCAAGCATAAATAAGAGGAGCAAGGAGAAATTAAAAAGGAAATTTGAAAAAAGTCGAGCAAAGAAAATATGAAAAAATTTGAAGAAAAAAAAGAGCAAGATAGGAATAAAAAATCAACGTATGAGAATAATATCAGTCCTCCCATCATTCTGTCTTCATCAATAAATGTCAGATATTTTTTCTAACTTTTTATGTACACGCCATAAGAAGATGCAGAAACTGGTGACCTGTTGATCAAACAAATTCCCTGTTGAATGGAACAAAATCAAATAAAAAAAAAAAAATGACCTACCTGTTTGATTTCCATGTATGAACAACTTCAGGCTCAATCTGGTGGAGTTGTGCCTGCTCATCAAGGAAATCGAAAATATATTTTATGGCCAGAGGCAAAACCTGTCCCCGGTGAGTCGTACTGAATATTCTCTCAAATAAATCATCTACATATTGTTGCAATGTACCCTGAAAAATAAAAATTCAAAGGCAATATTATATTTGTGAACTGAACTCATTTAAAATGAAAATAATTTTCTTTAATTATTACTGTACAATATTTACATTGCTTGATATCACTGTGTGTATATATTTTTCAGGCATGTCTTTACAATGTATGTATGTATGCATAAATGTTTGTTTCTTCTATGACACTTCTTGCTTGAAGTGCAGTACTAGATTGGCAGCAAGGTCTGGTCATTTGGGTAGATCTTCTATTACACTTCTCACTTGTTAAACTCTCTTCCAGCTTCTTGTTTCCAGTTCATCTTTGATTTTCAGAAATGTGTGTTTCTGTAGAAACACCTGAGGCAATAAAAAATGTCACTTCAGGACATGGGCTATTATGTATCTCCACAGATTTCTTTATTAATATCTGTAATGTAAACTGTACATTTCCATCTTGGTTTTTAGGAAAAATAGTGGAGTGGTTTTTTTTTCTCCATAAATTTATTCTCTTCAAGCTTTAACTGGGTGTGGGGGGAAAAATTAAAATAAGTGGCGAATAGCCAAATATATATATATATATATAAGAAATGTATTTTTTATTTATTAATCCAACTGATTTATTATTACTCAAACATTATTTTTAGCAGAGAGCACATTTTTCTTGAATATACAGTCCTACCCGTACCCCCCACTCTGTAACGGCATTCACCTGGGGTGGGTTGAGCCGGCTTCAATATTGGAGTTTCATGGGAATTTGGAATTCACAAGTGGTCCCAAAACCAGCATGTATAGGCTTCAGATCAGTTATGAGTCTACTGATTGAAAAGAATTTTATTATAAACAATTGTCTTGTAAATGGAATTGTTAAAGCATTCTGAATGTAAAAATAAAGAAAAAAGTGTGCCAGACAATAAGAAACACTACATGCCCAAAAAAAAAAAAAGTGAAGTTTTGTTGAAATTGGTTGAAAAATGTAGGTAGCCTTTCTGTAATCTTTGAGTTTTACAATTTATGATTTTTACTTATTGAATACAGTAAAAAAAAATTGCATATTTTGCTTGTGGTGATTCATAATTAGAATTCTGATTTGAATATATTTTTCACTTGTTGTTTCTAATACAATAAATATTAACTTTATTTGGGTTTATTAATTATGATCTAACAAATCTTATTCATTTAGTAGTCTTCTCTGTAATATATAATAATCTTTTACAAATTATGATTTTTACTTATTGAATACAGTAAAAAATTGGACACCATGTGTATTTAAAGTAGTTTCCGTTCGGTTATTATTTTTAGTTAGGACTTGTGTATGTTTAGATTTCATTATCTTTCCTAAAGATAAAGAATTTATTCGATGTTTGTATTCGTACAATCAGTAGAGATCGTTAGATTATTGTTTAAGGTTGACGGACACGCATGTCTTAATTATTTTTTTTATTTTTATTTTTTACGAATTGGTCAAACTCAAACCAAAAACATTGTTTTCAATCGTTATGAGTCCACTGATTGAATAGAATTTTATTATAAATAATTGTCTTGTAAATGGAATTTTAAAGCATTCTGAATGTTAAAAAAAAAAAAAAAAGTGTGCAAGAGAATAAGAAACACTACCTGCAAAAAAAAAAAAAAAAAAGGTGAAGTTTTGTTTTATCAGACAAAAAATATAGGAAATCCGCTCCCATATTTAAAGTAACCCACACAAACAAACCGATGTGAGTTGTCCCCCTTCCATTTTCACGATGTCTTTTAATCGTGTTTTCAAATTAATTTTGTGCAAAAACAATTATATTTTTCCCCATTTTTGGCACTGTTAGAACCACCACAAGGTAATTTTATGTAGTCCTGTGAAGTTTTGTTGAAATCCGTTGAAAAATGTAGGAAATCCGATCCAATATATAAACGTTACAGACACACACAATCTGCGTTTTATAATAATATATATAGTCTGTGAATGACATAATTTAGCTCTTGAAAATATTTCAATTGAGCACTGTTGAATGACAATCTAATTCTACAAACAAAAGCCACCTGAATTAATGCAAAGCTCTTCAGTAAAATGAATGGAACACTCCAGCTGATTGACATGTAAAAAAAACACCTCATTGTTGAATGAAGATAGCTCAAATGGTAGAAACTCTGACTGACACCAAATTGGTTGGGTTTCAATCCTGGTTTGAGGCATTTGGTTGTCTAGTCGCACTGAAGAGTTGTGATACAGTATTAAACAACATTTACCAGCCTGAATGTCAGAAATTTTCACGGAGGACAAATATTTTCTGTGAAAATTTCTCGGACATTCAGGCCAGTAAATATTGTTTAATACTGTTTATTATAAACAGAGCATTTACTTAAATATTTGTAGCTATAAAAAGAATGTATAAACATAAAAATGTCTTAAAATAATTGTCGGACTTTGTCCATTTCATAATGTGTGACGTCATTTGTTTACATTTGATACGCCATGTGCAGATATGCATGTACGTGAGAGATTAATTTCTTGGACATTCAGGCCGGTAAATGTTGTTTAAGACTGTTTATTATAAACAGAGCATTTATTTAAAATATATATATATAATCATGTAACTTGAATTTAGTGTATTTGGGCAGCAGATCATTATTCAAACATATATTGTAAAATATAACAGACAACAAATGTCTTGTGTTTGATCATGAGTCATTCTAAGCTTCATATAGTGGCTTTAATTTCAGAAGAAAATAAAGGCAAAAATTGACCATCATATAACCACTCTGATGAGGGCTCATGTGAGCCAAAAACTTAGATCAAGGAACATCATAATAAAAAGAAAATATCCAAATGTTGGACTGGTTTTGTCTTTATTTTCTCCTAAAACTAAAGCAACTATAAGCTTAGAATGTCTCATGACAGAACATAATAGACATTATTCATTGTCTGTTATATTTAACAATATATGTTTGAAAATATATGGTTTCAAATTTTCTATATTTATAGAGGAAGTGTATTCAATATCAGAGAGAATTTGTAGATATGAGGTGTATTGAAAATTCATTTTTCTTCCAAAACTAATGCCACATGGACAAAATCCTTTGAGTGGGAGGTAATGTCACCCTTCTTGCATATGTGTTAAATTTTTTGCTACATCATCCTTTCTTGTAACTTTTAAAAGTATATTGGTGCAAGTCATTTCCAAGTAGTGTGTAAATGTTTAAGCAACTCTTGGCTTATTCTTAGGCAGTTCACTTCAAACTTTACGATCAATTTCAGCCCAGACTATTTCAATTAGTGAAATATCTGGAGACTGAGAGGACTAAGTCATGCTTTGCAAAAAATACATGCAACCTTGGGCCTCTTTGCACTCTACGGTAGTTCACTAAATGTACTCAGCAGAGTGTAATGGTACAATATGCCCCTAAATTGGTTGGGGTATTATATATCATTTAAGATGTATCTTGGGAACCAGTACCAGTGCATGCTACCCAAGGGCAAGCCTGATTGGGGACCACAGGCATTGTTTTCTGACCCTCACTATCCTATCAATATTTGCTTTTTTTTTTTTTTTCCCTACATTTATATACGTTACAAATTAAACTAAGCACAACTGTCGATTAATGTTTGTGGTTGTTGACGTCAATATGGGGTCTTTTTTTTTTCGTTCATATCCTTGAATTTATTTTACTCATGCCATGTCTTGAAAAAAAAAAAAAACACTATATAAAATTCAGTAGTTTTTTATCCATAATGCTGAATGTGTTAAAATTTAACTTTTTAACAAGAAAAATCTCAAGTTGATCTTAAAATTGCTGTAAAACATTGTCGATTTATTTAAGATGAAATGATCTATTATGACAGGTCTCTAATTTGTATTTAGATACATTGGATTTATTTTCAATTTTCCTAGTTGAATTGTTCACCTATATTGCATATTATCCATTATTGTATATAATCAAGTTAGAATAAAATTTGTATTTTATATGAACACTACCTTATGAAAAATGAGATGTAGTAGAGATGAGGACCCCCTATCATAGATATGTGAGGGGGCCACTTGCACTGGCCTTGATTTTAGTAATAGAATCATAAGCCAGTGGGTTGAAGTAGCTGATGTTGTCCTCAGAATGGGCCCTAATACCAATTTCATATGGCCTCAAAAATACATGCTCTGATTACACACTCTGATTGTCAGTACTGTTGGAGGCCGTAAGTGATACATTCTATGACAAAGGATGGGGGCCATGTGAAATTTGAATGTGGGTCATAATTGGCCCCAGGGCCAGACTTTGGACATGCCTGATTTACATAAATTGTATTTATTTTCAATTTTTGTAGTTGAATTATTCACCTATATTGCATATGATCCATTATTGTACATAATTAGGTTAGAATAAAATTTTTATTTTATATGAACATTACCTTATGAAAATTGAGATTTAGTAGATTGGGGTGCCCCATATCATAAATCGATGGGGAGGGTAGAAAAACCCTGCACCGGCCCTGCGTGTTGACTTTAATGTAAAATCATACCATTGATGTATTTTATTGTTTATTTAGAAGAATAATTTTTTATTTACAACATTCTAAAAACTAATAAAATTAGTAGAACTAATGCAATGCAATATTTTTTATTTATCTACCAATTTATAAAGAAATAAATATGAACAGAATTTTTTATTCATAAATTTACAAACATTTAAATTATTAAAATAATGTTGATGTTAAAAATGGCCACAAAACATTGATTTATTTAAGATGGAATTATCTATTATGACATGTCTCTAATTTGAATTTGGATACATTGGATTTATTTTCAATTTTTCTAGTTGAATTATTCACCTATATCGCATATGATCCATTATTGTACATAATTAGGTTAGAATAAAATTTGTATTTTATCTGAATAATACATTATGAAAATTGAGATGTACTGAATGAGGGTCCCATATCATAGATTTGAGGGAAGGGGCATGAAACCATTTCCCTGGTTCTAGTGATAGAGAAGATATTTAAATTTTACTATAAATTAAGTAATTTTAAATATTTATGAGAATTACTTACAGTAATGAAAATATTATTTTAATCACTACCAATTAAATGATATTCATTTCGAGATGTATTAAAATATTACTTATTTTATTAAAAATATTATCTTTTTTGCTTCGTTAATGTCCACCATAAAATCTGGTGTTTAGATACATTGTATTTATTTTTGTTTTTTCTATTTGAATTGTTCACCTATACTGCCTATGATCTATTATTGTACATAATTAGGTGACAATAAAATTTGTATTTTAGATTAATATTACCTTTTGAAAAATGAAATGTAGGAGAGTGAAGTGGTTGATGGGGGGGGGCACAATGTCATTGCACCAACCTTTTGAGAACACATATATACAAGATTATAGTTTTTGTGTATGTATATTTGTAGGTTTGATGAATTGGATCGTAATTATGATTCCATTGTAATAAATTATAACCATGGAATATTAGTGTTTGAGCTTTTTATATTATATTCTTACTCTGTCCTGGACATTGAGTTCTACCTGGATTCTATCCTCTTGAAATTTATTATATATATATATATATATATATATATATATATATATATATATATATATATATATATATATATATATATATATATATATATATATATATAGTGATTTTCTAAGCACTGCTTAGATGTGGCACAAGGCCAGAAGTAGGGGGCACCCAGTGAGGATCAAACTCACTACTCAGTCGTAATTGGTCGAGCGAGACAAGCTTGCTAACCATTACACCACCTCAAGGTGCAATATATATATATATATATATATATATATATATATATAAAGTGATTTTTGAAGCTTAGATGTAGTACAAGGCTTAAAGTAGTGTGCAGCCAGTAAGGATCGAACTCACTACTTAGCTTGTCTTGTTTAAATTTATCAAAATTTTGAATTTGTAGGTCTGATGAATTGGATCATGATTACAATTCCAATGTAATAAATTATAACCATGGAATATTAGTGTTTCAGACTTTTATATTATATTCTTACTTTGTCCTGGACATTGAGTTCTACCTGGATTCTATCCTCTTAGGAACTTATATTATATAATAAAAATATATAAACTTAATATTTTTATTTAAAATATTTTTAAATGAAAATATTAAAAAATATTGTGCTCTACATTGTACTGAGCACTTTCTTTAAAAACTGCTAAAGAACTGTGAATTCTAAATCTGTTTGTTCTTTCTCTTTATTTGGAGATATATATATATATATATATATATATATATATATATATATATATATATATATGTATGTATGTGTGTGTGTGAAGTTTTATTTTTCATAAAAAAAATAACTGATTTTAAAGTTAAGTGCACCACTAAATCTTGAATTTCCTTTTAAATATATTATGAAAACAGAAAAAACCGCCCCAGCTCAAGAACCCTTGTCTAATCTAATTTTAATGAAATTTTGCCCCGCACTTGGCAGGGTTTCAAGATGCAATATGTTCCTAAATTGGTTTGGGTATTATGTTTCATTTAAACTGTATTTTCATATACAATAATTTTTTTTTTTTTTTGCAACCCTCTGACGCAAGATGAAATCCTTACAATATTTACTATTGTTGAAGTTATTGCTAACATTTTTTTGTCAAGATTTAAAAAACTACACTCCTTACTGGGTTTATAGTTACTACAGCATTATATTTTACCAAAATAAAATATATATAAATTGTTTTTAAAATAGTGGGAGTATTTTGTATGTTAAATAAAACTTTTAATTTTTCCAAAAAAATGAATGAAAATTTATTGTACTAAGCTATACACCCTAATAAAACCATCAATACTTTGTACCCTCTTATGTGTTTGAACTTCCCCAAAATTTGGTTTAGATCAGTCGACATATGGCTATTTTTAGAAGGTATGATGGACAGACTAAAGGAAGTCTCAGAATTTTATATATAGATTTGTAAAATAAATCTGTCTATATCTTTGAGATGAGGTATTATGATTACTTGCATTATTTACATTATTCAAACTGTTATCTTCATCTTTAATTGTCATTAAAAATGGTTTAAAAGATAAATTATACATGGCATTCATCAGTCTCAAGAGACCCTCTGGATCTGTGCCCAAAGAGTTATACCTCAGCTGCTGATGTTGGTGCAGCATCTGTTATGGCTGTACAGGCCCACACTGGAGTGACATTCTTGATTGCAAAAAAACAAAATGCATGTGAAGATGCTCTCCCCTGATGTCACCTTGTTGTTTTCTTTCCTTCAAGCACACTTCTCCCCCATGACAGAACTCTGTTACTTTTCTTCTCACTCCAATCCTTGGTGTAAATCGTATCTCTAGCATCAGTGATCATTGGCAACATTTTCCCACCTCTCAATGTCCATCATTCTCATGTCCCTTTTGCAGACATCCTTGAAATAAAGATGAGGTTGCCTTTGTACTGGTGGCCAGTTTCCCATAAAGAAAGATCTTCCAAATCCTTCCATGTTGCTTCCTGTGCTTTGCCGTTGTGGTGATGAACACCGGAGGGTTCTCTCCAGGGTGCATGCCTGGGCAGGGTTTCATGAGAGATTGGTGTCATGGAGAGCAGAGACATGTTGCCTGGGCAACCACCAATGTTGCACCAAGGAAAGAAAGAGTACAGTACAACTTGGCATCAGTGTCATCGCAAAAGTTGCCAGAACAAACATAATATTGGACTGTCTTAGGGACTCCAGCTCTAGATTTACTTCCAAAGCCTTCCTCAAGGATTGGATATGGCTGCAAGACAATGGAGGTTTAAGATAGGTTTTGCTTCTCTTAAAATAGGGGTAGGCAACCCTGGGCCACATCCGGCCAGGGAAGGATTTTTGTCTAGCCTGTCAACTTTAATAGCTGGACACAAATTATTTAATTAATTTGTGGAGAAAGTGGCAGAAACTTATCAGTTGGAGTAAATCAACTTACAATGCGAAGAATTTTTAAAATCAAAATGCAATTTTGAATCCTCTGCTATCTTCTAAAAGAAATATGTTTTGCCAAACGGAAAATATAAAATCCTATTGAATGGTGTCCTTAGTTGGAAGTACTGAAGTTTGTGAACAACTTTTTCGAAAATGAAATATATTAAAATCTTTTTTCAAACAAGGTGGGGGGTGATAACCACCTGGATGATGTTTTGCTTTTGTTGCCAACAAATATTTCCCCTGATGTGGAGGAGTTATCTAACTAGAAGTGGAAACAAGTGTCTCATTAAATAATTTGCCATTTTTAACTGTATTTTATTTGTAGTAAGGAATTTGCGTTTTTTGTTGATTCTGTTAGGTGTTATCCTGTTATACCTGCAGTAAAATAAGGAAACTTGCTTAAATAATATAACATTAAATTTGTTGTTTTTTTTTTAAACCTCCAGACCAAGGTCGTCTTCTGGACATACAGGTCAGGGGTCGAGACAATTTATTATAGTAAATTTGATATCATGGCCCTCCTCCAAAACACTGCATAACTTTCTGGCCCTCTCACTCAAAAAGGTTGCTGACCTCAGTCTTAAAAGATAAATAGTTGTTTATAAAAGTAAAATTTAGAAGATGGCTACTTACTTTTGTAGCTAAAAGCCTGGTTAGATAAATTTCGCTGACCATTTTGCTTCCTCGATCTCCTTCCCTGTGAGTTGGAGAATCATGTTGTTTGACCTGTAAAGAAATAGAAAATTACACACTTTGTTGAGGGCATTTCAAAGAAAAGGTTAAGTTCTAGGTGTATATACACACATACCCTATTTCTCATGCTCACCAACTCCTATAAACACACACACACATATATATATACACAAAGAAAAAGATCCTTCTCAAAACTTCCTGTTTCATATCCCAATTTATTTTCTTTACTTTTTACAGTTTATCAACCTATTGCAGGATATTTAAAACTAGAAAATAATTTGGGATTGTAAGAGTTTATTTATTCATTTTTTTTTTTTTTTTTTTTTTTTTTAGATAATAATGAGTTCTTGATACAAGTCTTAATAATTAACCCATAGCTGGGGGAGAAGAGGTGGATTCATACCTAATCAAAAATTGCTAAACAAAAAATACGGATATAAAGTAGGGGATCAATGCTATATTACAATCAATATATAAACTGGTCCCCCACTTTGTGGCCAGTGTTGTTTCTATACATTTATATTCCAGAGTGTGTAAATAAATGTAAAAGACTTGCCTGTATAGCTAATTAGTTATTTTGTTGATTCATTTTATACGCCTTACCAACCCTTTGCATGTTATTTAAAGCCAGAAAATATTTTTACATTGTAACTTTTTTTTTTTTTTTTTTTAGATAATTATGATTTAGTGATACAAGTCTTACTAATTAACCCATAGCTGGGGGAGAAGAAGAGGATTCCCAAGGCTATTTTTGTGTAAGTGAATATAATGAACCCAATGGAAATTAAAACTCAGCTCTCTGATTAACAATTCTGAGCCATTATCTATTACACTACCTGAACATCCAAGTTTACAGCACCTGGTATTACCAAGTGGTCACCCATCTAGGTAGTGACCAGGCTTGATGTTGCTTAACTTTGGTGATTGTATCAGAACTGATGTTACAACATGTGGCCGTAAACCACTAAATTGTTGTTTTACAAGGACTAAACCAGGAGTCTGAAACCCACACACATCCCCCAACCACAGGGGAACCATTGGCAAACTACTAGTCAGAAGACCTGATGGTGTAGAATTCTGACAGTGATAGATTGTCTATGATTAAATTTTGGATATGAGACTAAAACAATGCAAAGAGAGCAGTCGGATTAGAGAATTTTTTAATAAAAAGATTTTTCAAATTTATTTATTTATAAAATGGCAATTTATAAATCCTAGTGTCTTGACTTCAGTCACAGCTTTTCAACCATTGTAATGTGGCTTCCCTGTGCCTTTTCTATAAATACTTTCATGGTATTTGTTCTGATGGTCATTCCTCTTTTGTACATAGACTCTATGAATTTAAGCGCAGTACATACAGAAGGACAGATATCATGTAACAGTTCTGTTCTCTTTTCTTTGAAAATGAAATTTTTCAGTCTCTTAATACACTGCTTAGCTTTTGGAAATCATCTTTGGCCATCCCAATATATTTACAGATCTCAGTGTCACACTTCCTATCTTCTGTTAGAACACTTTAGTTAGATATTTAAATTTCTGTACTTATTTGATTTTAGTATCCTTGACCTGTAATTTGCATTTTGGTTTCACCCTTTTGCTGAGAACCATATTCAACAAAAATATTGAAAAGGGATATACATTCTTCTTTTATGTGTTGTGTCCATTCAGGAGAAAGATGATCAAGGCCCTCCTGTTCCTTGTAGCTCTTAATAAGTTTTGTCATTTCTCCCAAGGCTTGTTCTGTCATCCATTTGCTCAAGCCCATCAAATATGTTACATGTTACTTTCTCGTATTCCTCTTTCTGTCCCATGTGTATTAGATTTACTGAGCCACACTTCCTCAATACAGCCCGGAAATTTCAACTGCCTCTTCCTGATGATAAGTATAAGTTTCCTTGTTGTTCACATGTTTGGTCCTTGCTATCCTCAGCATCTTTCTACATAATCAAATTTCTGTTACTTCAAGTATCTTCTTCATCTTTGAGGAGATTGTCCAGTATTCACTGTCATACAGAAGGACTGATATTACATAAAAGTTCAGTACTCTTTTCATTGCTTGTGTTGCGTCAAGTCCCTTCTTCATCTATGAGTACGTTGTCCAGATTTCACTGCCATAGAGGAGGACTTATACGATGTAACAGTTCAGTACTCTTTTCATTGTTTCTGTTGCTTCAAGTCTCTTCTTCAACTTTGAGGAGACTGTCCAACATTCACTGTCATACAAGAGAACAGATCTCGCGTAACAGTTCAGTACTCTTTTCTTTGTTTCTAATGAAATTTTCCCATCTCTTAATACTCTGCTTAGCTTTTGGAATGCATCTTTGGCCATCCCAATACATTTTTAGATCTCAGTGTCACACTTTCCCTCTTCTGATAAAACACTTCTCAGATATTTAAATTTTTGCACCTGCTTGGTTTTAGTATCTCCGACCTGTAATTTGCATTTTGGGCTCACATTTTTGCTGATAACCATACTCAATGAAAATATTCAAAAGGGATATACATTTTTCTTTTATGTGCTGTGTCCCTTCAGGACATGGGCGATCAAGGCCCTCCTCTCCTTTCAGCTCTTAATAAGTTTTGTCATTTCTCTCAAGCCCTGTTCTGCTAACCATTTGCTCAAGCCCATCAAGTAGGTTACATGCAAATTTCTTCTGTTTCTCTTTTCATCCCATGTGTATCAGATTTGCCAAGCCTTCCTTCCTCATTATGCATTCTACATTGCAGTTTATACTTAGTCCTTTCTTCTTGCTTTCCTTTGCTACCTTTTGTAGGAGGTTTTGTAGTTTCCTTTCTACGTCTGCTATCAGCACTAATATCTGCATATCTTAGCTTGTTAACATTGTGGCCACGAATAATGAATCTCAGTAGGACTTCTAATTCTCTCAAAATTGCCTTGCTGTATATGTTGAATAAATGCAGTGATAAGACACGTCCTTGTCTTACACCCCTTTCTATTTTGGTATATCTGCTGAACACATTTTCTGTCTGTATGCAGGCAGTTCAGATAATATATCTAAAAAGGTATTTATTTTTATGAGATCAGAGAATCTTAAGATCTGATTTTAGCAATCCCTGTATATAACATTTAATTTAGCATCTTAACACAAGTCTGATTTAGGCCCCACCTCCCGAGATGCACACGTCATGTCTCCCCCATGCACTCATCTGATTTAGACCCCAAATTTTAGCATCTGACTTATCCCCTATACACACATCTGACATCTGAATAAGCCCCCAAATATAGCAACTGATTTAGACTACTCCCACACGCAACCACCTGACATCTGATTTGCCTCCAAATTTTAACATCTTATTTAGTCCCCTACACATATTTGAAATCTGATTTAGACCCCTCCATCTAACATTTTATTTTTGCCCCCCCCAACATCATGTCACACATTTAACCTCTAATTCCCCACCCACTTGTAACATCTGATTTATCACCACAATTTATAAAATTATATTCAATTTTACCTAACATGTTTTAGTCCCCACTCCACCACCTGATCTGTCATCGGATTTTGCACCTGACTCCTTATTTCGTATTGGTGTTCTCATACTCATCATAACATTTTTGATAATACGGTGTCAATAATTATAGAAGATATAAAACTTACCAAATGATATTTGCGCACGTTGTGTTCTCCATCATTTGTGCTGTTGTGTTGTGCTGTTCTGTTTAATGAGGGACTACGAGTGCACACAGAATTTTCTGAAAGAAGACGTTCTAGAAAAGTGAAAGAAAAACCATCATGTCACTAAGTAGCCCAACACAAAACACAGGTAGAGAGAATAAGCGAGATAGATACAAGGAGACTGAGTGAGCAAAGGGAAAGTCTCTCTTTCAAGGTCAATATGTTATGTACAGTGACCAACAAGAGAGGGTCTATGCTTTGGTTCCTTAAGAGGCCCAACACGAAACGGATAGAGATGGACTGAGAAAAGGAGTGGGTCTATGCTTTGATCCCCCAAGAGGACCAACACAAAGAGATAGAGCAAAAATAAAGGAGATAAAAGGAGAATGACTCAACAAAGGAGAGCATCTCTGCCAGATGTGGCTGGACTTGCCTAATGGAGGAAGCTGAGAGCCTCAAAAAAAAAAGTTTGCATACTTTTTTGTTACATATACATTGACATTAAACTCGCATTTTTATATATATATATATATATATATATATATATATATATAAAACTTAAACACTAATATTCCATGGTCATAATTTATTCCATTGGAATTGTAAATACGATCCAATTCCAATGGAATAAATTATGACCATAGAATATTAGTGTTTAAGCCTTTTTATTATATCCTTACTCTGTCCTGGACATTGAGTTCTACTTGGATTCTATCCTCTTGGATTTTTTTTTTTATACAATATATATATATATATATATGTGTGTGTGTATATTTACTACTATATATATATATATATATATATATATATATATATATATATTGCATATGTATGTGTATATTTACCACTAATACTATATATATATATATATATATATACCACTAATACTATATATATATATATATATATATATATATATATACATATATATATGTATATATATATATATATATATATATATATTGCATATGTATGTGTATATTTACCACTAATACTATATATATATATATATATATATTGCATATGTATGTGTATATTTACCACTAATATTATATATATATATATATATATATATATATATATATATAAAGTAAATGTAAAAATGACAAATAAGTAACAGTAAATAAGGAGTAAAATATAAGCAAAAATAATGTCATTCGGATCCATGATTATTTCTACTCAGGAATCAAAGAATAATTTAAAACATAACCATTACCCTTTACCATTAGGATAATACAATAGACCTTGCTACCCATAATGCACCATTGACCAACATATATAAATAATCGAGCCAAAGCACAACACACATTGATTTTCAGTCAAGCATGAAAGAATGTTGCCGCTTGATGTTTAGCAAAACACAGAGAGAAAAATAAAGAAAATAAATGGGGACTGATTAAGCAAAGGAGAGGGTATGTGCTTTGGTTCCATTAAGAGGCTCAACACAAAATGCACAGAAAGCAAGACTGAATTAGAGAGATACTGAATATTAGAAAGCTTTTCTATTTTTAAACCCACATCCAAAATATTAGCTCAACTGATCATCAGGAGATATACTATACTTTATTTAATACCGAGACCAGAGATGTCCATTTTGATGATTCACATTTGAAAAATAAAAATTTTGATAAACTATTTCATTGAGTTTTCTCAGCCAAGTCAAATAAAAATTTAAAATGCATATAAAAAGCAAAAATCCAACGAAAAAATGACTTAATTACCCACTTTGTAATTTTCTTAAAGTGCTGTGACACACCAGAGTTTGGAGAATCAAAATACAAAAATTTGACAAACATCTAAGCCAGAGCTCACCCATTATTATACTGTGGTAACATATTTTGAGAGATTAACATCCCAGGCAAGGCCCCGTGTTCAAAACTGGATGGTCGTAGGGTAGCAACTTGATAAGACATATTTTAAAAATAATGGTTATATAATAGAAGAACTGTATCAATCTACAGAATCATACATGTCTTGTGAGGACCCCAATATGAAAACATTTCAGATGTCATCAGGAGTATGACAAAGAGAAAATGATAGCCCCAGTTTATTTAACCTCTTTCTAGATTATACCCCATGTATTTACAAACACAGATGTGATGAAATTGGTTCTAATCATCCAAGCTTTCCATACCACATCTCAAATAAGTCTTCCAATAGAAAACAATGATTCTGCTTTCTCTCTTGATGCCAATGTACTGATGACATACCATAATTCCCCATGTATAATAAATACGCCTTCATCTGTAATATGTACCTCTAAAATTGTGCCGAAAGTGTGGGAATATGCTTCTACTCATGCATCATATGCACCCTTGTTTGGTAATCAAACCCTATAAATTGTACTTCTCCAATTTAATTACAGCCAACGTTTCCTACTCTTATTTTAAAAATGGTTTAAAACATAGAAAAATATTATTCTAATTTAGTTTTATGATAATTCTTATTTTATTTTACATTTGTAAATATTGTTAGGTACATATGATTGTATTTGACATCCTTATAGGGTCGTAATTGCTGAATGTTAGTGTCAAATTGTCATATGTTTGTGGTGAGTCATAATTTCATAACTGAAATCTACCTATGAAATGGCAAATTTTTTTTAAAGATTGTAATTGTGCATAATACGCACTCTTAATTTTCTTTCTTGTGTTCGAACAAGTCTTTTCTTTTTTGAACACAAGAGTGTGTAGAAACTGTCAAAATGTTCTATAATTCTGAGTGCTTTTGGCTATACTTTTAGGATGATTTTATTTTTGCTTTTTAATTGGGTATATGAGTTGTGTGTATGTTTTTAGAGTTGTAAGGATGTTTTATTTTCCAAACACCGTTATCACATTGTGGATGTATATAAAAAAAAAATAATAATGGAAGCCTTAATAATAAAAAAGAAAAAGCCAACACTTAATAATATTAACTACAAACACAGCCAGAATTTGAAATCGTTAAAAGTACTTGGCATGTGTTTTCCATCTAACAACAACTCGAATATAAGGATCTTATTATTCAAGGAATTGATAGTAGGTTAATGTCTCATTAAGTTCTGATAGCAAAGAATCCACAATCCTGCACTGCAACTGTAAACATTAGGAGCTTGTATCGTATGCACCATGAAAGGCCTATATATGCATCCTAAAGTTAAAATTAAGATTTAAAATGCGTATTATATGTGGGAAATTACGGTAGGTATTCATAAATGAGATAAAAAATTGAACATAGGTTATGTTGTACCTGTGGTAGTTTCAACCTACAACGCAAATTGCTATAAAATGAAAACTGTAACCCAAGAACTTAAGCGATATTCTTAAATAGCCTCGTTATATGGAGACTTTCATATGGATGTCATGCATGGCACTAAACATATACATAAATATCTAAAACTGTCAGCTGTATACTACTGCATCATAATACCAATGGCAAAAAGAGGCTTCAAGCAAGGGTCATTGAACATTGGGGTCTGGCACTAGAGTCACAAAGAACTGTACCAAATAACAGACCATAAATAAAAAAATAATATAAATTATGTGCTCAAGACTGCTATATGACAATATAAGAGTTACTAATTTCTTGAAGCATTGACAACTTTTCAATCTAAGTAAGAAATAATAGACCTAAAGAATGAAATTTATTACTAATATTTTTTTGTTTCTTTTCAATATTCATTTCATATTTTATCATTTTCTTATATTTTCTTTTCTGTGAGTTGTTGAGATCTACTTCTTCATTTTGCATTCTATCTTTTACACTCTTCTTCCTTCTTTCCATCCATCTATCTATCTTTGAGTTGTTGAGGTCTACATTTTTCATTGTTTATTTTGTATTTTACCATTTTGGGAGAAACTTTAGATGTTCAATTCAATGTTGTCTTTGTAAATGGCTTCTTGTGAGGTCTTTTATGTTGATTTTTTTTTTTTTTTTTTTTTTTTTTTTTTTGGCAGTTATAAGTTCAACACAGGAGAAAAAAAATTGAAGATAAAATAGGCTGTGTCAAAGATAGTTTCACCCAACACTACCAAAACATTAATTCATATTCTTAAATAGTCTCATCAGATCAAGACTGGAATGTATATCTTGATATACAATGTGTTTGATTGCATTCCTTGTTTCTTACATAATAAAGCAAATTGCATTTCTTTTTGACTTGCTCTATATTTCTGTAAGGTTAATTTGTCAATCAAAATATAATTTAAAATGTTTATAAAAGGAAAGAATTCAATGAAAAATATAGTTAATTCTTTGATTACTTTTTTTAATTATTAATTACACTAATCTATGATGACATATCAGTCTGGAAAACTCTGATCTCAGCTTCAGAGAGAAACTATAAAAATGTCTCCATCCAGAAGTATTTTTTTTTTTTTTTTTTGACATTAGAAAACCCTCTTTAAAATACATTTTGCCAAATATTAAGTTTTTTTAACCAAGTCAAATTCAACATAAAGTCTATAAACATTATGAATCCATCAATGCCACACATAAAAAATAAGGTTGATAAAGATTATGAATCCATTGAAGCCAGACAAAAAAAAAATGAGAATGACAAACCCTATCAAGATTAAATAAAGGTTTCCAGATGTAACCTGCAAAAGGTTGAAGAGGAAATCGGCCAAAAGACGAGGATGCTTGTCTTAAACAATCCTTATGCAGTAACAAAACCTCTTCTTAAAAACTTAGATCATGTCAACGATCATACACACTGAAATGTTGGGATGAAAACAACAAATGGTGTAGATGCTAGTCTGAAAACTTCATTAAATAGTAACAATATTTTGTTTCAGAAATAGGTTGCAACAAAGGCAGGGGTATCTGTCCGAATCGTGATGGGTCTCTGAAAATCTTTGAATAAAAGTAGAAAAGATAAAGTTGTTAAATCAGAAATAATAATAACATGTAAGGTTGTCTCAGAAAATGCTGGGATATAAACAACAATGGTGATGATACTTGTCCAAGAATCTGGAAATCTTTAGTCTTTGGAATTATCCTCTATGACTTACCATATTTATAAAATGATGGTTTTTCTTGTAAGGGTGGCCCTGTATTCATTGGAGTCTGTTTGTGTTCAAGAGCCATAAATGCGCCATCGTTGACCTGAAAAACATAACCCAGACGCACTGCCTTTAGCTTCATTCCGGAAGTCAAATACATAAATACAAACACTTACCTCGGAGAAAAACTGGAAATATCTTCAAAAAAGTTTGGTCTGTTAGATGAAAGCTAAAACCAAATACAGGGTGGGGCAGAGCAACTTGCTTATTTAAATTTGGCACCCTAAAGTGATGGTTGCTCCAAGGATGGTAGGGATGGACTTATTTGAGAGGGTGGGGCTTAAAGTTTGGTTCTTAACGTGCGTTATTTATTTTTTGTTTATTTTTCAGGAACCCCAGTGAGCATCATAGAGTGGACAAAGATGGGATGCGCTTTCGCTGTTGAGGCATTTTTTTCAAGCGGTTGCTCAATCGTCGCAACGCGACGTGCATTCTGTAGATATTGAAATATGTCATAAGTATTTTAGTAGACCTGATATATGGTTTCAAATAAACAAGTTAATATCTATATGATTTGGATTTAATATTCAAGAAAAAAAAAAACTAACAATTATTATTTTAATCTTTAGCGATTGTTAGATATGTTTTAATAGTAATTCAATAATGTTCCAAACTTTTAAATGTACACCAACATTTTAATCAATGGTTCAAATATTTGCCTACACCTTTGTGAAAATGTGAACTAATTTTAATGTTCAAATTCATACTTGCAGCCCATCCCCACACCAACTTAAACCCTCCTCCACAAAACACTCTGGTGACGGACATAATGCTTGTTGGTATTCCTTAATGAAAATACTCGTTGAATAACAGCATTTATCAAAAATAAAGTCTACAGAAGAAAAGTCAAAAATGTGATTAATCGGTAATATTTGTAGATCTTTAAAAATGAAAGGTAACTTAAATCCAAGGTGTTTAAAAGAAAAAGTTTTTCCAGAAATTAATATTGTACTTATTTATCCCTGTTCGGTATTTTAGATTGAATAACTAGTTTTTTTTATACCAACAGACGTTTTGTTCAATATTGTTTAGTAATATTCAAGAAAAACAACAATTATTATGTTAATCTTTAGCGATTGTTAGATATGTTTTAATAGTAAATACTTTCATTATACGCTTCCACCTTTTTCACGTGATATATGTTGGAATTTTGAACTAAACCATTTATTTCATCCACTGGAGTAGACTGTTCTAGTTTCACATGCCATGCCTTTTCTAGATATTTCAGTTATCTCCCTTTAGTAACTCAACTCTGCACGTTATTTTGTTCACCTTTGCTGTGGCTATGGACAGGTATTGAACTCACAACTCTTTGGATCGTCACTTTTTGGATTACTTCAACCAACACTTTTATCCATTTGGAAATCTACCCCGGTGAAGTAAATAATGGCTTGGGTTCAAAATTCCAACTTTTGTCAGTGTGAGAGAGAGAGAGTGTGTGTGTGGGAAAAGGAGTGAGAGAGAATGATAAATTCAAACAAGTGCAATGAGTTCAAATTGCTTCTGTGATTGATTGGTGTTTATTATATAGATAGATATGAACAGACTGAGATTGATAGATAGATATTTAGATAACTATATACATATGAACAAAATGAGAGAGTAAAATACATATGAATGGAGAATGAGATTGTAAGATGGATATAAAAAGAATTAGATAGTTCAGTTCATTTCTATCTATCTATCTGAGTAGAAAGAAAGAACTGAACCATTTATTTAGTCCCTGGGGATATATTGTTCTAGTTCCACATGCCATGCCTTTTCTGGATATCTCAGTTTCAATTATTTCCCTTCAGTAACTCAACTCTGCAAGTTTTTGTTCATCTCTGCTGTAGCCAGGTATTGAACTCACAACTCTTTTGGTCCATTCACTGGGTTACTTCAGCCAATACTTTTATCCCCAAGGACATATGGCCTAGTGGATTTTTTTTTTTTTTTTTAGAGGTCTTTTTTATAGTACACTCAATTATTCTGCTATGTTAAAGGAAAATAACAAACATCCAGAAAAAGTATGGCATGTGGAGCTAGAACAAATCTAGCCTGGTAAACATAACAGGTTCAGTTTAAAATTCCATTCAAGAATGAGGATGGCCAAGTGTACAATGACTGAAACGTTGTGAATATAGCAATGAGGATAATGCAAGTGACTTTAATTGTTCTGCTATGGGAAATCCTATCAAATGACGTTTTAATTTTATTTTCTCTTGTGTGTGATTGACTACTGGATTGCCTCTGCTCAAGGTTTTCATGCTGAATCCAAGAAAAATTCAGAAACTTCTGTTGCAAAAATAAAGAAAGAACTGAAGAAAGCTGAAAAAGAAATAGTTTGATTTTAAAAACAATGAAAATAACATACAACAATCCAAATATGACAGTTACTATGGTCAAAAGCAATTATACAAAGGCTTTGATTTTTTAGAATCCCCCCACCACCACAAAGAAATAAATGTTTAACAAAAATAGGAGGCTTTGTCTCTGACTTGACAATCTCATTATATATATATATATATATATATATATATATATTGAACAATAAAAAAAAATATTAAAAAATTAAAATCTTCAGACACACTGGGTTGTAGATTAATATTCTTTCGTTTTTTTTATTATTATTCCATTTAGATTCCTCGACTAGTTTCGACCAAAATGGCCATCATCGGGAGGAGAAATATTTCTGCTTGCTGGTAGCACTAAACTACAGAAATGAATGTCTTTTGTTGGAGAAAATGAACTTTTGTCTGTAGTTTTCATTTGTTTTTTTATTTTTTTATCTTTTTAACATGAATCTTTTAACATTCAGTCTCTTTTAAGTTGTTATTTGAGATAAGAGCTGGACAGATACATGTTGCTCTGAATTCTCTGGTCAGTTTGACAGTTTTATTGGACCTGGTGAGGGGATGTGTCTCTGTTTAGTGTTTGTGTGTGTGTGTTATTTGGTTCCTAGGGAGTGAGTGAGTATGATATGTGTAAGCATGTGTATTGCTGTGGGTGTGTGTTATCATTTGGCTCATTAGGGAGTGAGTGAGTGAGTATGATGTGTGTAAGTGTGTATATATTCGTGTGTGTATAAGTGTGAGGCCTCACACCTCCGTAACCATGTCTGTCTTGTGTGAGTGAGAAATGTGGGTAGGTTTTGATTTATTGACTTGTATATTAATACTATCTATATTGTTAAATTTGTGGTTTAGCCCGGCTGGAAAGCGTGTTTTTAATTGTTGTATCCACTTATTTTCGTGGGACTCTAAAATCTTTCTAATGTTACTTAAATTAATTAATCTTAAACATGATTTTGGTGTCACTAAGACACAAGGAGATACTGGGAGTTATCAATGATAAGACTTTAGAAGGAACTGGAAACCCAATCCTAAACAGAAAACAAGTGTTAAACATATACTCCTGTTCAAAAGGCCCTTATATATATATATATATATATATATATATATATATATATATATATATATCAATCACACACACACACACACACAGGGTGTCCATAAAGATCGTGTGCACTTTAAAAAATTTATAACTTTATTTGTGATAGAAATAATTTGTAAAAAGGATTAGAAAGAAGTAAATCTATATTTTTTAAGGTTTTATTGAAATTTTATTTAAGTTTCCAAATGTCCTCCATCATTAGCAATACAAAGGGTAATACGATTTTGCAATTCACGGAAAACATTTGACAACTGATTTACAGTAATTCCTGAAATCACATTAGTTATTTTAGCTCTACTTAAAACTGGGTACATTAAACTTTATCACATTTTTTACAGATTATTTCTATTGCAAATACAAATAAGGTTATAAATTTTTTAAAGTGCACATGAACTCTATGGACACCCTGTATGTATATATATATATAATAAAATCCTAAAGAAGTGATTATACAAAGAATTACTAAGTAATGTTAATGTAATTAATGACGAAATAACTTCACTAACAAGACTTAATATTAACTTAATAAGATATTAACTTGCTATTAATTCCCTGAATAATTTCTTATAAGTTAATATTAAGTCTTGTGAGTGAAGTGATTTTGCAATATTTACATTAACATTACTAATTAATTCTTTGTTTTATCACTTCTTTATGATATATATATATATATATATATATATATATATATATATAGAAAAAGTTTCAAATTAAAAATTATAATGTTTTATTTTTTGAAAGTATTTATTTATTTATATATATATTTAATTTCTAATTGTCCTCAATTTTTTAAAATAATTTTTTGTTACAAATAAATTAAAATTACTGTTTGTTGGAAATATTTATAAAGATTTAAAACACCTAAGTCACTATTCAACCCTAATTTATGTGTATTTAATTTTAAAAAAATATTTTTTTTATATCTAAATTTAAGTTAGGAATATTGAAATGATTTATAAAGATTTAAAACACCTAAGGACCTATTCAACCCTAATTAATTTTAATTTATTTTAAAATCCAATATATTTCTGATGAAAAATTGAGGACAATTTGAAATATCAAAAATATATATATAAATAAATAAATACTTTATAAAATAAAACATTATAATTTTTAATTTGAAACTTTTTCTATATATACATATTAAGAAAGTATACGTGGCTTCTCATTATGCTATATATATATATATATATATATATATATATCACATATTAAAGTGCTGGTGTTAAATAGCACCTGAAGATTGCATTGTGCATGAAACAGATTTGTTCTGCTGGCAAGGAAAATGAACAACTTAATTATTAATAATAATAATGCCATTATGTTTAATCTTCACATCTTTGATATTTTATAAGAAAGTGGATATCCAATAATGGAACGGTATTAATTTTCATCAATATCTGATTCCAGTTATCGCCATAAAAGTCTTCTTTTTTTTTTTTTGTTTTATTCATATATCATATGTTGACTTTCATCATATAACAAAATGGCTATTATTAACTCTTTTTTTAATTTTTTTTTTAAATATTTATTTACTTTCCTGTATTGCTCCAGCCAGATGGACCAGAATTAGATTTTGAAAATTTAATTTGCTCGTCTCACCACTATTTCAATTAAGCCATTTTTGACATGTCTTCATCAGAATAAAATAGAAACACTGAGTGGAGAGCATAAATTACAGTGAAATAGTTCTATTATAGTAGACATTAGAAAAGTGTTTAAATAAAATAATTCTCATTAAACTTTATATTACTTTGATTCATTTAATCCTCAAACTGGGAATTTAACGGAAGCAGTTAAGCATTTCAGTTTAGTTTGTGATAAGCAGGAAACGTAACACATAAATATTGTTTGTCATTGTTTCATTGGATAAAATAAAATATTTTCTTGCTTATTTATTTATTATTGGTGGAGAATAGTTTGATAAAATGTAGGAAGCAAAGAGACAAAAACTGGGTTTAAGTAGATAAAAAATGGGAAAGAGAAAAAGAGGTTAAAAAATTGAGGAAGAGAGAAAAAGTGTAAAAAAAAAAGAAAGAAAAAGTGTAGCAAAACAAGAGAGAAGGATAAAAAAGAAACAGAAAAAGTACAACAAAACAAGCAAGAGAGTAGAGTAAAAACAAAAAAAGGAAACAGAAACTGTAAGAAACAAGCAAAAAATGAGAGAGAAGGGTAAAAAAAAGAAACAGAAAAAGTGTAACAAAAAGAGAGAGAGAGAAGGGTAAGAAAAAGAAACAGAAAAAGATTAAAATCAGAAAAAGTGTAAACAAAAAAATAAGAAGAGTAAAAAAAAAACCATAAAACAGACAGTGAAAAAAAAAAAGAGAGAGAAGAAAAAGAAGAAACAGTAAAATTAAAAATATGGGGAAAGAAAGAGCTAAAATTGGTTGATTCGTTTTTTTTTTTTTATGGATTATCAACCTTTTGCAGTTTACTTAAAGCCAGAAAATATTTTTTAGATTGTAAGAATATTTTTTCACATAATAATTCTTTACTGATACCAGCCCAACTATTTAACCCATATCTGGCTGTAAAAGATCAGTCTCAATGTTCCTTAACCTTGGATACAAGAACCATTATATGAGTCAAAGCCATTTACTTCTTAGTTAATAGCTCATTCAAGTTTCTTATATGACTCAAAGACAGGAGACAGTTGAGCATTTCAATTTACTTCTTAGTTAATGGCTCATTCAATTTTCTTAACCAAAAACTGACAAACATACACCAAAGTTAAGCAATGTTAAACCTGGTCAGTACCTAGATGGGTGACCACTTGTTTTGGTTTGGTTTGTTTTATGGCACATCAACCTCAATGTGTTATTTAATGCTAACAAGATTTTTATTACAGGTAATATTTTTGTTCAAAAAAGCATTGGTGATAATAATTTTTTACAAAAATGGTATTGCTGGTATTAAAACCTATTTTTACACTTTGATAGTGTTTTGACCCTAGTTTGGGGGTTAACTATTTGCCCATAGCTGGGACCCCAACAGGTGCCACCACCCCAAGTCAGGGTGGAGCTGGTAACACCAGCAATTAAGAGGTGGTTTCACACTCCTCAAAACCTCCTGGTCAAAGGCCTTCATGTTAGATGTAGTTTATCGTCTTACCCAGGACATGGTGACCACTTGGGAATACCAGGTGTTATAAGCGTGGATGTGTGGGTGGTGTAATAGATAATGGTGCAGAATTGTTAACCAGAGCCAAGTTCCAATTCTTGTTGAGTTCATTATATTCACTTATGTGCAAATACCATTGGGAAAAGCATGGGTTCACCTCTTCTCCTCCAGCTATGGGTTAATTAGTAAGACATGTATCACAAAGTAATTATTTAAAAAAAAAATCATCTTACAATCTGAATATATTTTCTGGCTTTGAATAATGTGTAAATAGTTAAGCCGTAAAAACAAACCAGTCAATCAATGAAATACTAATCAGCTACATAGGTATGCCTTGATTTATTTACAGTCTCTGGAACATGAATGTATAGAAATTACCATGTCCACAAAGTGAAGGATTAGTTTATATATTGATTGTAATGCAGAATTGATCCCCCACTTTATATCCACATCATAATTTCTTATTTGTCGATAAGCCATGGAAAACGAATGAATCAGTAATGAAATACTGATTGAGCTACACAGGCATGTCTTTTTATTTACAATCTCTGTAATATAAATGTATAGAAACTATGGTGGCCACAAAATGAGGGATCAGTTTATATATTGATTGTAATGTAGCATTGATCACCCACTTTATACCCACATTATAATTTCTTGTTTGTCTTCTCCCCCAGCTATGGGTTAATTAGTAAAACTTGTATCATTAAATCATTATTATCTCAAAAAAAAAAAAAAAATTTAATATTTTCTGGCTTTAAATAACCTGAAAAGGTTGATAATCTACAAAATTAGTTCTTCCAATTTGATCCTGATGTTTTTCTTATTTAGAGATAAATAATCGAAATATCTAAGTTGAAGTCCTTCAACCTTTATTTTTCTTTAGGGTAACATATACTAGTTTAACCCTTTACTTGTCCTGTGCATCACATGTGGTGCACATAAGCCATAATTTTAAAAGAGTGGTAAAATTAAGGGTGCTTAAGAAAAGAGTTTATTTTTGAGCAGGTTGTCTGAGGAAAAGCCTAATCTAATATCTTCTGTGACATATATGACCCAGGACACTTAATTGGTAACATAAGGTCTCAAATAAAAGACATCTATTTTTCCACTTTAATGAAATGATTATAACCTTTAAGAAAGTGCAGTGAGATCAAAGAAGAAAAAAAAAGGAGGATATTAATAAGAATATATTTTAAAATAGCATTTCAATAAAAACGTTATTGTTAATACAAACAAGCAGAAATTTAAAAAAAAAAAAAGAAGCTTGACTCGGTGGCATAGCTAGTGTGTGTGCTGCCTAGGCCAGTGCACTCCACAAAAACCTATTGCACAATAATGTTCTCGTGTGTATATATATATATATATATGCATGTGTGTATATGCATGTATAACTATTAACAGGTCCAAAAGATGAAAAATAGAGCAACACATTTCCTTAAACAAACTTTTGTCAAGGAAAATAACTGAAATTTATGTGATAACAACCAAGATGTGTCTCCTACACACAGCAGTGCTGCTGCATTAAAAGAACGCATCTTGTTTTTGTTCACAGGTTTCACATTGTCAACAATCATAAAATGCCTCTGATGACATTACTCGATAATGTCTATTGTCTGGCCAAGATAACAATCATTAAACTCCTTCCCACTAAGTATTTTGAGAAAAACGTTTCAGACAATTTTTTAAACTTATTTTTAATGTAATCACTAAGACAGTGAGGCGTACACTCAGACAAAACTTCCCCATAGACAGGGTTGGGCAGCTGACTACCTTCCCAGATGAAACTCTGCCCATAGGCATAACCTCGTCGGTGTTCCTCTCTGCCTGAAAGCAGACAGATCGACTAGCAGAGCTTTAACAAAATGTAATCGTTAACTCCTCTCTCTCAGAGAGAGTGTTGTTTAAATAATCTTTGACCAGTCCATCTTGTGGGGGTGTTCAGCTACTCCACAACTAATATAAATTTTTATTGAAGGTGGATTTAGCACAATAATAATCTTTCTGTGTACCAAGTAATCAAGCCAAAAAAAAAAAAAAAAATGTAAAGAAAAATTATGCATGCAGGTGAAAAACAAAAAAGATATTATCTTTACCTTGTAGTGTGAAAGTGTGTTTAACCGCTTGAGGTCACCTTCTATCTTTGACGTAGTGTCTTCATCATTTAGGATGAGTTGTTCATTTGGAGAGACTCGCCATTCTGGAGGTTTAGCAAACAAAACTGTCAACAGGTAAACAGAAATTTTGGGTAAGAAATAAGAAAGGTGAGACTTACTTGCAGTCAGAGGCGGCCATCAGGATGAGTAAGCAGGAAGACGGTGTAGTGGACAAGAGAGAGGAGTCTCGCCACTTCCGTAGCAGCAGCAGCAGCAGAGTAATACTGACCATTTTAGTTAAGAGACAAAGGTATCTGAAGCCAGCAATTGGGGAAGGAAAGGGAAAAGACGCTAGCAAAAACTGCAAGTACTTACTCAACTTGTTTTCTGTATCGTTTGAAAATAGCTATCATTATGGGTTTGGAAATTAAAATTAAAATAATAATAAACGTTTTGTCATATTTACATAATTACATATATCTTGTAGACATGCTGAATTTTATTTTAAAAATAAAAAATAATGTATACAAGTGTCAAAATTTTAGCCGACGTATTGTTTGATATCTGTCTGTATATCTCTGAGATGAGGTATTATGATTACTTAAATTATTTACATTATTCAGACTGTTATCCTCTTCTTCATTGCCATATTCATGTTCGTTTCAAAAATTCCAATCACCTGAAGAAGGTTGGAGCATACAACGGCCGAAATGGTGTAGATATGGCAATGAAGATGAGGGTGACACCCTGAATAATGTAAATAATGCAAGTATTGTTTGAAAGTTTAATGATTTTTTTTTTGTTTGCGAATGTTTTAATTATCTGTTTTAAAGTTGAGTTTTTATACCAGCAGGAAAAGGAAAGAAAAAGTAACTGATTTGTTTATTTTGCCCATATATGCTTTTGTCATGCTTATGCAAATTGACTCATTTGAGTTTAGCCTTGGAGATGCTCATAAAAGAGCAAGGTTACTGGCCTTGACGAGTGCCTTTAGGCAGAAGGGTGTGTAACATCATCATCACTTTCTTCTTCAACTCACTGTTGTTACATCACAGCAGGAAGTGATCGATGTCACTGTAAAAAACCAACAATCACAGAAAACGGAGTGGTGTGATCTTCACAAAGAATGCCGTTTTTTGTAAGCTTAAGCATGCATTTTTATATACCCAGCAGAGTATGCTGAAATTTCCAAGGGTTAAATTAAATTTATAACCTGTTATTAAGACCCATTAGTGGTCATTTGAAACTTATCTTTATTTCAGTTGTTGAAATTTTTATATCAGAGTTGTCCTTTTCTTTTTCTGCCACTTGTATGTATAAAAATCGCTTTATTATATATTTCATGTTAAACGGCTACGAAAATTTGCATTGTACTAAAACCGATTATTAGTTCAATTCATATATTATTTTTTTTTATCTAGATATAACTTTGGTTTTTATTGTAAATAGTTTTTCTTTCTTATTTCTATAAACATTGAGCGTTTTTCAATTGTTTCCTTTGCTGTCTTGTTTACATTGTTAACTTTCATATCGGACTTGTTGTCACTTATTCCCGATTGGAAGGAATTTTGTGATAATGCACTACCAAGTCATTCCCGCCCTTTTATTTGATTATTTCCGGTGTTATCTTTCCATGAATGTTTGAAATAGCAGGCAATGACTTCCAGTTTATTTTTCTGATGAACCATAGCCTTATAAATGTGTAAAATAGATTCTGGAGAGAAAAAATTGTCTAGCACCACAGTAAACCAACTTTCTTAGCAGGAGACCTAGAAATTGACTCAATATAATCTTCACACTTCATGTCAACGGAAAACGTTAGCTCAAGAATGCGCTAGGTGTCACTCCCCTGAAGGCTAGCATCAGCCATACTGATCGAAGACAAAAAGAATTCTCTCGGACAATTAAGAGAGCAGGTACGTTTTAAAATTATCAAGCCATTTCTTGCCCAAGTAAACAACAAATTGTCATTTTTGAGATCAGTTGACAATTTGACCGTATCAAGTAAATAATCTTGGACTTTCATGCCTGCAGAAAAATGGTGTGTCAAAAAGACGGTTTTTCCCTTGACACCAATATTATTTAACTACCTTCACTCCTCAGCAATGTTTTTTGTCTATATATAACTGTGTTTTTTTTATTGTAAATACAGTTTCTATTTCTTATTTCCATAAACATCGAGCGTTTGTCGTATGTTTCTTTTGCTGTCTTGCTTACATTGTTAACTTTCATATCAGAGTTGCTGTCACTTATTCTCAAATGTGAGAATTTTCACAGTAATACACTACCTGCCTTTATTTGATTGTTTCTAGTATTATCTCCCCATTAATGTTCGAGATTGCAGACATGAACTTACAATTTATTTTTCTGATATGTATTAATAAAAGAAATGACAATGTTGTGACTACACGTGTGCAAAAAGGGAAGGGGTAAACTGAGAATCTTAAAATAATTTATTTTAATATCCTTTGCTGATTTCATTCAGTTTCCTTTTCTTTTCATTCATGTTTCCATCACTTTTATTATTGAATATCCTACATTGTGATAATAGAAGATGGCTTAACTTGGATCTTCATTCCCACAGAAAAAAAAACTATCAAAAGGACAGTTTTTTCCTTGACACTGCTATTATTTTAAATACCTTCACTCCTTGGAAATGTTTATTGTTTTAAAAAGTGACGATTAGAACTGTAATAAAACTTAAACATATGTTTAAAGTGAATTTACACATTTTCTTTGTTCTGGAGAATTGACAACAAAAATAATAAACACTATTTATTTATTTATTATTTATTGGAATGGTTGGCAAAACATCAGCTAATTGCCAAATGATTCAAACTTAATAAAATGGTAAATAACAAGGATTTTCTTAGAGTTGGTTCACATATATTAATTATTTATTAAATGCTTATAAATCTATGAATAAAAATTGTTTTCATGTTTCCTTATAAATTGGTAAATGACAAATATTACATTGCATCAGTTTTAATACAATTATATTTTAGAATGTTGTAAATATAAAAACATTCTTGTAAATAAACAATCTAATAGTGTTTAATATTTTTTGTTGTAAATTCTCAAGCACAAAAAAAAATGTATAAATTCACTTTCATATGTTTAGGTTTTATTACAATTCTAACCATTGCTTTTTAAAACAATGAACATTGCCAAAGAGTGAAGGGAGATGAATTATACATGTATAAATTCACTTTCATCATATATTTAGGTTGTATTCCAATTCTAATCATCACTTTTTAAAAGAATAAACATTGCCAAAGAGTGAAGGTAGATGAATTATATTTTATTCCAATTCTAATCATTGTTTTTTAAAACAATAAACAAACATTGTGAGGAGTGAAGGTAATTAAAATGATAGTGGTATAAAAGGAAAAAAAATCCTTTTGACACTGTGTTTTTTTTTTGTAGGCAGGAATGTCCAAGCCTGCCAGAAGGTCTATATCTAAATATATGCAAAAGTACAGAAAGAGTGTATATATATGTATATATATATATATATATATATATATATATATATATATAAAAAAGAGAGGAACACGTGGATAAGGAAAAAATTATTATTGACCTTAAAGATGGTGGATTGAAAAAATATAACGATTAAAAAAAAATTTTCTTCGTAATAATTTCACTGCATGTAAGGCAATAATGCCACTAAGACGCAAAGGGTTACCAAGTGTGAAAGATAACAAAACAGAGAAACATGACTAAGGAACAAGAACAATAGAAAAGTAATCAGGAAGGCAGTTGATTAACGACTGACATAGCATTTAAATTTTTAAAGATCAAAGATGGCTGGAAAGCATGGAACTGGAAGTGAGTTCCACAAGCTAGAAAAGAAACTGTTAACAAAGAATACAGTTACATCAAACCTATTCCACCATAAAATGATGGGACCTTGCTGCCAATCTAGTACTGTACTTAAATTTCTAAAATCTAGGTCCTATAGTGAAGAGTTCATCTGAAGAATTACCATGAAAGTATTTGTAGCAAAGGGAAGCTACATTATGACTGTGGGAAAGTCGCTCAAGCCGAGATGACCAATAATATTGCTGATTCTTTTTGGAATTTTATCAAGGCACTCTAGATATATAGCAGGTGCACCAGACCATATATGGCAGCAAAAATTCAAAGCATTTGTGAATGGTAGACTTATAGATATATAAGATAGATTCTGGAGAGAAAAATTGTCTAGCAAGAGAGAAAGAAAGAAAATAAAAAGACTAACTGCTGATTGCTCCTCACTCTTCAGATTCAATTGAAGACAAAAATATGTGCACAACAACTAAAAGTTTATAATCACCTTAACCCTCTCAGCCATGCGTTCCTGAACAATTTTAACCCTTCTGCCTGAGCTCCTGAGTCAAAATTCACAAATAATTGGTATGTAATGTTTCATGGTAGGTATAAAAACATTTAAAATCATTTTTTTACCACTGTTCAACTGGTTTATGTCACTTTTCTCTACCACTGTTCAACCAGTGGCTGGGCATTACGTCATTTTTCTCTACCGCTGGTAAAGTGGTGGTGAGGGCTCAAATGGTTAATACTTCTATTATTGATCTCTCTCCTTAAAATTTTTTCTATTAGATTCTTTCACACTCACTAAACCACTTGTGTCTTAGTGGCTTTATCACCTTGCTTGGGGTGAAATAATTTGAAGCAGCCTTCTCTCTATAAGCAGAAGGAAAGGCTGCTGGACTAAATATAATCTATCTGTATTGTCTACTCCTGATTCCACTTTGTAGACATTTTTCACCATTCCCTATCTTGTTTGAGATTAAAAACAAAGTATACTTCTGTCCCATAGATTTAAAAATTACTCTAATCTTGACTTCTTAATGTTAGAGATCAGTAGTTATCTATCCTCCTTAAGATCTGTTCTATGAACAACATTTTCTACCCAGGATAGGGATTGAACTCACATTCTCTTAGTTATAAAAAATCTAATACTTTGTCAGATTAACTCATTTCTCCTGCTGATTCAGCCCAAGTAGCTCAATTTAATCTTTTCAACTCTGCAATAACTTTCAGAGTTGTGTCCCTTGGCTCCATATTAATTTTGGGTGTGGTAAGTTTTTGAATGATGGGTATATTACTGGTACTGTAA